ATATATATATATATATGACCTATAACGTATATATATATATATATATGACCTATAACCTATATATATATATATATGTATGTAAATATATATATATATGTATGTTATTATATATATATATATTTGACCTATAACCTATATATATATTAAGACTTCTTGAACCTACGTGTTTTTCTGACATCATTAATTTTAAGTATTTAAGATGTTGAATGCATAACATGAACCGAATTAAAAAAAGATATAACTCAGTTTATTGTTTTATTAGAGAGAAGCTACAAGTAAATATTTTTCTATTTCATAATCGTAAATAAATTTAGTTTTTAATGGTTAAATTTTACACAATATTTACACTCATATTTAACATATTACTTTGAAATGTTAATGCACCGTTAAAGGAAAGAAAACAAACATTCTTTTTTATCTATATTTACAGGTAAAGCAAACGAAGAACTTGACGAATTAATTGAATTGCTTAACTTGCCGTCAGATGCCTTTACAATCAAAGACTCTAATAACGCTTATACCGTTTTCACCAAAATACCCCTAAAGAGAGGAACAATTTTTGGCCCCTTTAAAGGCCTATTATCGCGAGGAAGAAATTTAGCTACTAAAACTACAATAATACAGGTGAGTTAAGATACCGAAATATGTTTTTATCATTTATAATAAATAAAACACTATCTAATATTTCACATACAATGCCTCTTTCTAAGAGCCAACGTTACGGAATTAAGACTTCATTAGGGATAAAATAATAATATTAGTAACTTTTTAAGGTATACAGACGTGCACTAACTAATTAAGAATAATAATAATATAAAATTATGCTTAATTTTAATGATATGAATATTCCTTTTATCTCCAGATAAATTGTAACGACGAAACATTAACTGAAGTAAACTGTTATTTCAACTTAAATAACAAAGAAATTATTACAAATATTGCAAGGAAAGTTGTTAAAATTTCGGCCTTACGATTTAGGTATTGATAAAGATCATATACCAAAATCTTGTCCAAGATGTTTTTTTCCCTAATATCCATCTTAATCATTTATATATATATATATAATCGTTCTTTAGCTACAATTGCACATCATTGTTATTTCATGTAAAATAGTAGATCGTGTTTTTGTCTGACCTAACTGTTTAAAAAAACTTTCCAGTTTGCTCCAAGATCTTTAAACTTTGTAAATATGTTTTGGAAAGTTATCTAAGGTATTTTAAAGTTTTGTTGATTCACTTATACCAACTAAATTGTTTTTAGCTTTAGTTACTTACTAATTTGGTTATTACGGAGTTAAATATAATGATTTCGTATTTTATAACTAAAAAGAATATCCAATCTTAATTTATGGGTCATTACTACTAATTCAATGTTTGTGATTTTACAACACATTTGAGAATAATATAGGTTATATCATGTTAAGGTTTTAGTTTCATAAGATTTTTGAGAACAATATTTAAAGTTTTGTTGAATATCTAATGTCTTTTTAATGACTTATTAGCGTATTTGAAGAGGGTAGTTTAGATTTCATGTTAGAGATTTAAATTTACTGACTGAAACTATCTATGAGATACCTATGTTGGATATATTGAATATGGAGCTCCTGAATGGAGTGATGTGAATGAAGAAATATATATCACAATGTAAAGTATACAAGTTATTCAGAATAGGTGTATTAGACCTATAATTAAATTTCCTATTTATACTTCCATTAAAGTTTGTTTGTTTTAAAGCAAAATCAGAGTGGGCTATCTGCTTTGCCTATCGCGGGAATCGAACTCCGGGGTTTTAGCGTTGTAATTCTGTAGACTTACCGCAGTCCCTAATACATTTTACTAAAAATCACTATAAAAATATAATTACTGGTAAAAATATAATGTACATTTCAACAAATATACTTAAAATTAGTGATTATAGCTCATCACGTAATTTATAGTTTTTGAGTAATACGTAAAGCATAATGCTACATTATATATATATATATATGAGTTGTACTTTTATTGAAATGTTTAAAATGTATTTATAGTTTTAAATGTTAATCATAAAGCTGTTTTATTTAAATTGTAAATCTTAAAACAGTTTACACTTTATTGTCAAAATTTTAACACTTAAATTTTATTTGAATATCTTCTTAAAAATATGTATTATTTATTATATTTTATCGGGCATTTTTATGGTTTATTTAATAATTTTAAATTTTTATAAAACCACTGATTCTAGAAACTAATAACTTAGTTCACCCTCATGTCAAATTACGACAGTGGCACTAACCCTCAAGCTCTTCATAGACCAAAAATGTTCTAATGAAATTACCACAGGCAACACAAAACATATCTAGCTGAACACCGCTAAAATGTCAATATTGAATGTAAAATAGCAAAGTAAAACAAAAATTCATGTTGTTCAAACAAATTCCTATATGTGTATTACCTGTGTGTTTCCATAATTATTTCCAATATCAAATTTGGTTTTGGTGACTAATTTAATGAAATTGCTTCCGTTATTGTGATATTATTTTTCTAAGCATACTTGCAACATTTATTTCAAATCAAGGACCAATACAAGAAGGTTAGAGTTTCCGAGTTGTTATATGTCAATTTAATATAATATAAAAAATTAAACTATTTCTCTTATTATACCACATTATTTAATGCTCTAGGCTAGAGACATCAATGGAGAGAATGTCTACCTAGATTTGAATGATGAAGCTGGAAGTTGGCTTAGACTGGTTAAACTAGCGACCACACCTCAAGAAGCAAATCTCACAGTTTTTGTTGAAGGTAAATAACACATTTTGGATACTTCCTTCTTACTCCTACAGTATTTTAATAGCATACGTAAGAGAAGGTGTAAGGTGGAAAAGAGCCATTTGATCTATTGAGGCCACAAAAGAATGTAGCCCTTCATATCTAACAGAAGGTAAAATGAATTCGATGTAACAAAACACATCATATTATCAATTAAACCATTCCACACATCATTATTTTTATTACAAATAAAAGTACTTTCTGTCGAAGAAAAAGGCTAGATCTGGGTTTCCAAATCGCATAATTATTACTTCTGATATCATAAGCATGGTAGTACTTATAGTAGGAACGGGTCCGATGTGCAATATGTGTAATACAAATTAAAATCTCAAACTCACTGCAAACAGCATGTAACAAAACTTTATAAGCACTTTACACACACTGTTGAGCATTAAACGAACCAGCTGCAGAGTAACAAGCCACCAAATACATGAGAAAGTCGGTGGAGTAAAGAACAAATCTTTCATAAAACTACAAATTTGTCAATCTGAATATCTGACTGCCTGACTGACTAGCGTTGTTGGAAAGGCATAGTTGTCTCCTACCTTCACTTTATGCAAATCTAAATGCGCATGATTGAATTACACTAACTTGGCTAAAAGCGTTTTTCTTAGTTTTACTTATAATAGTAATAACAAGTAATAGCAATAACCATTTTGCAAAACTACTAATGATCTAACAATACACTAGTATTCTATGATTACGAGTATGCTCTGTGAGTTGTCAAGTAACAAAACGCTCTCATATCACGTGCTGGTGCACGATTACTAATAACCCGCGCTACATGATCAGCCCTCAGCTGTATCAGCTAGATAAAAAAAACGTAGAATACGTAGATGCTCTAGATCTAGGTTCTAACTGTGATATAACCTTTGAAAGTGAAGTTTACAATTATATATGTCTGACTCAAGGGATCTGTGTTGGACAAAGCATTCTATCATAACAGTCGGCGCCTAAGACGTGAGTCTCCTACATAAGGACGAACGCTACCACTGACGAAGTCTGACACGGCTTTGCTCAAGCGCTCTGGACTGTAGACAAGAACAATAAGTGGTATAATTTACCTTTGCATTGTTTCAAACTAAGTGTGACCTATTGACATCTAAGGTTGAACTGGAAACAGTGCGATTTTTAACATATGCCTTTCAAGGAAACAAATACGAGAGAAATGGAGAAAATCTTATGTTGATAACCTAGAAAAGTCTTTGTCCCAGCGAAGAAAGCATTACTGCAAGAATAGAGATTAGGTTAGAAACTGTAATGCTGAATATGCGAAACAAGCCTTAGCCATTAATCCAGCCAAATATAAGTTTGCCAGCCTGGATAGATGGAAGAAAAACTATAGCAAAAATATCAGCAAAAGCCAGGGAATGTCGAGAGATAGATCTAAGAGAAGGATAGGCCTAGAGCCCTGTCACTCTCGAGACCTAGTACCAAAATAGCTATGAAACAAGTGTTTACACAAATTAGGAAGTAGGAATGGGAGCAACAAAAAGTATGGATACAAGGTAGGAATGGTGGTTTTTGACACAGTGCAACCTCTGTGTGTGGCCATCCTTCTACCCATTCCTACTTTGTGTTTTACTTTGAACTTGAGTTTTTGTTCAACTTGATGCATAATGGTGAGTAAAACAAAATACGGGGCCTAGGTAACTAGTGAATGAATATTTGCTGTAAGATTCTCATCAATGCTATAAGTGTAATTACCATTTTGGCCGCCAGTTTCGATTTCGTTCCTTTAAGTCACACTCTGAATCCTTTTTGGCCGCACCTTTTTTCACAACTAAGGTGTTTTTGATTAGATAGATTTATCTAATATCATGCCAAATTTCATGCTTTTGTCACAAAGTGCATAAATGCTTCATAGTGTCAGATATCTGTCTCACTAACGATGATACGAAAACACCTTATTCTTTATGGTTGAAACTCATGTGTGTGTGTGTATGTATACTGTTATAACTCCAACATTTAATTTATTTCTTTAAAATCGATACTTTTATCATGAACACTATATTTATTTACCACAGGGCAATTTGATATAAGCTTATCATTTTATTAACTAAGAATTAAAAGAAAGACATGACAACATTTCAGAAACTTAGAAGTTAACTGCGTTTGAACTGTTTGCTTGTTTGCAATTATGCACATAGCTCCACAATGGGCTATGTGTGCTCTGCCATCCACGGGTATCGAAACCCGGATTCTAGTGTTATAATCCCTCAGAATTACCGTTGAGCTACATAGCGAATTTTTATGTATGTAAGACAAAAAAAAAATCCTCAAAATAATATGGTTCTATACAATTGAAAGAAGATTTATTTTTAAAAGAGCCAGTGATCAGGATTTTGTAACCGTCGTCCGAGAAAAGTTCAATAACTTTCTCGTAACCATTGAATCAAAAAGTTCAAATAACATTGTTTGTCAATATATGTAGCGGCTGTAACCTAACAGATGCCATAAGACAGCAGTAGGGTTAATGTGCAATTATGAAAAATAACAGATATTTCAAGCAAAACGAGGATATGAAACAAGGATGAAATATTTTAACAAGATTAGGGATTTGTTTCTTCAAAATTATTCTCTGTTTACCAAGAAATGGAAGCATCGGAATAATGAAACACTTTGATGCACTGAAAACTGTGCAATCTTGTTCGTATTTATTACCAAAAAATACATTTTTGAGTCGTTCGTAGATGTCAATATATATATATAGCACAAAAATCTGTGTGTCTATCTGTTTGTCCGTTATCTAACTACTCCTAGGTCGCTAGGTCAATCTCAACCAAACTTTGTGAGATGATAGTTTGGAACATGGGGCATGTCAATGAGGGGTTCACAACCCATTACACTCCCATTATTGCTGTTTTTCATCATTTATTATCTCTGACGTAATTTAACATTAACGACATTAACATGCGG